ACGAGGACTCTTTTAGAGAGAGACCTGATTTTTGTGTTTTTTAATAAAATGGCCCATGACTGTGAACTTTGAGCGGTGGAGATCTTTTTAAGAACAGAAGCAGAAATGTGAAGCAACAGCTCTGATGTGATATTAGGAAGCTTGTTATGTTTAAAATGAGTGTTTATGTAATTATTTTCTGTTTACATATCCAATATAGGTTTTATTTGTTTGAGTCAGTCAAATTTGTTCATTTGTTCATAAATTTATTATTATTAGGTCTGAGAGGTACCAGATCCAAGAAAACAGTTACCGGAACGCACGGTGTCAAAATAAAAGCGTTCCTGGATCTGGTACTGGCAGGATCCAGCTCAAATGAAGCAGTGACTAAGATGTGTTAGGAATGACTCTCAGTTTCTACCGCATGACACTTTAGCTCAATATCTGCACATTTAACTTAGTTATAGCCATTTTGGTATTTAGAGCATTTGGTATTTGCTGGAGGTTTCTTCCTCATGAGGGAGTTTTTTCTTTCCACCGTCTCCTTCATATTTGCTGAAGATGAAAGTTCTGTGATGGAGTTCAACTCAAAGCAGTCTGCTCCTCAGATAAATAATGTTAAATTATTATTTTTATATATGAATGTTTCTGTTCAGTGCCCTGAGACGACTTCTGTTGTGACTTGGTGCTACATAAATAAAGTGAATTGAATATTTGATAATGTTGATATGCTGTGGCAGTCCTCTTGAATTTAATCAACATCAAAAGGTAATAATCAGACGTGGGAACTATTGTCTGCCTTTTGTCACCGGTGGTGTGTTTTTAACTTTTGCACACTGCCTCATGCTCCTAAAACAATCCACTTGATCATTTAATCTCTTTTCTAAATAATGCAAAGAGCTCAAACAGTAAACACAGCCCTGAAACACTAAGATGATGTTCCCTGAACTTCTAAAACTACTTAGATTCTTGTTGAATAAAACTGACACAAATAGTAATAAAAAATAAATTAGGGATGCATGATATTATCGTCATGGTATCAGCCGATATTAGCGTTAAAGTTAAATATTGAACATCGGCCATTCCATCAAAATAACTCACCGATATGAAAGACTCTGTTTCTGTATGAAAACCCAGTGACAAGGATGCCTGCAGCATCAGAACAAGGTGATGACGTCACGTGCACCTAACTGATCTCATGGCAGAGACGAAGAAGTCAAAATGTCGGCGGTGTGGAACTTTTATTTTTCATTGGTGACAATGTTGGAGTCCAAAGATTTATGGACCACGTTGAGCCTCGCTACATCGTCCCCAGTCTGAGATATTTTTCTGACGTAACTTTACCCGAGTTACAAGCCGTCATTTCTGACGTCATTGAGAAGCTAATAGCTGATAGCACGACTTGTTGGGTGAGTTTTACCACAGACATTTGGACGTCGTGTTAGCCCCGTTAGCATGATTAGTCTTACGGCACAATGGACAGACAAAAACTTTGAACTTAAAAAGTCTGTCCTTCATGCACAGCAGTGCAGAGGATCCCACACTGCAGCTATAGGAACCTGGAACAAACCTCCACAAGTGAGACAGCATCGCAGGTGACTAATGCTGATAAATAACATTTAACACTTTTCATTTAATATAAGTTAAAGTGCTCTGCAGATCATATGGCTGTTACTGAATATATGTCACCAGCTCTTACAACTGTTACACAATATTTGTAGCAACTAAGTCTAAATAAGAGGACTATGTTCTGACAAAGGAACGTATATAAAATATTGGTATTGGCATCGGTTATCGGCCAAATAAGTTTTAACATATTGGCCAAAAATCCAATATCATGCATCCCTAAAATAAAAAAAATTAAAATATCATACGCAGCAGCCAGAACAGAAGATTAACTTACATCAACACCCAAATAGGACAGTCCAGTCAATCTATGAGGGGAAGCAGCCTCATAAATGAACGCAGATGAACTATAAAGTGGAATTTATTAAAATATCGTTGATCTGCAACCAGCAGGTCAATATTATGTGCTCACTTTATAAAATATCACAATATGAGAATAAAAGATACTTAGAGTAAACTCAAAGTTTTGTCACAAAGAGTGAAAGACTAAACTACATTCTGTTTAAAATATCAAATCAAAATGAGCCCAAACTGAAATAAATGTAAGATCTAAGACTCAAATTCTCAAACTTGAATCTGTAGAGTGACTCCACAGCATCCTGACCTACATTTACTCTCAGAGTTAACCACACGTTGCTGTCAGCTTGGAAAGTTTGATAAATGATTTGAATCAAAGGTTAAAATGGTTGGAAACAAGGAAAGATTTCCACTTGGTGAACATCGGTGCCGTTTTAATACACGGAGTCAAGTATATTGGTCTCACTCCCCTGCTCACCGCAGCACGTTAGGTCACACAGTCCTCCCCGCGCTGACAACAATAATGGAGTATTTACCAAAAACACGAAGGACCGTGGGTGTATTACAGCCCCGTCTGTGTGGGAGCTTTTTCATTTTGTTGTGAGCAGAGACATCAAGCGTCAAAGTGAAGTCAAAGCACAGAATCATCAAATAACAACCTCGTCTGTTTTGGACGAACACAGAACAAGACGTGTGTTTGCAGTGCACACAGAGCACGGGTGATCCAGAGCACATGGATTCACATGTCCACACTAAGTGCTGCTCTTGTTTTGCTGCTCCATTTTACAAAAGGCAAAAAATGAAGCAGGTGTGAAAACATCTACACTCACTTATTCTGGTCCAACTTTAGCAAAAGGGAACTAATGCAGGCTTAAACCAGAGGTAGTGTTTGATTACTGCATTACAGTTTTGCCATGGCACCTGACACCAAGACAGAAAAAACATCCATAAAAATAATCAAACGTTTCTCCAGAAACCCTCGTCTGCTTTTATTCAGGTCCTGAGTTCACCTGACGGTCCACTTCTTTTATCGCTGCTCAGTCTGAGTCACGGTGCCTTAAGCAAATCAAAACAACCAGAACGTGACGCCAACTTGATCAATTTATCAATTTCGAGGAAAATGCAGCATGAATACTGAGTGCTGAATGACCTTGCTAAAGTTTGCTGAAGAAGCTGAAACTGGTTTGTTCAAGTTGGAACAAAAACTGGAAAGGAGCTGAACGGAAGCTAAAAGGAGCAAAACGGCAATAGCTTAAGAAATAAATAAATAAATAGTAGCCAAAACTTACAAGGAGAAAAACAGTAGACGAAAGCTATTAAAAGGAATAGAATGACAGCCGAATGCTAAAAGTAGCAATCTGGTAGCTAAAAGCTAAAAGTGACAAAACAATAATGAAAAGGTAAAAGTAGTACAAAACAAAAAAGAATGGAACCTGATTTAAAAGAGAACAATGCTTTTTCAAGGAACTGAAAATATTACAATTTATATTATATAATATTTATATTTGTGTTTGACAAAATGTTGTTTTAAATAAATTTAAATATTTTGAAAAGTACAAAAGTTACAGCATACATAAGTTAATGCACATTATTCCCAATTAGTTGGACTGCAAAAGAACATGCCAAAGAAATAATAAGCGTAAAAACAATAGTGTGAATGCTGACTCAACATTCACTTGAAAGATTGCATCACTGAGCCAACGAGGTTTGATAAAAAGTCTCTCAACTTCAGATTTCTTTTAACTCTCACAAGTGAACTGACAGAAAGAGCCTTTTGCTTCTGGTTCCAGTTTTCAACCTGCATAGCAAACAATGTTCTGATACTTTAGGAAGCAGACACTGCAAATGAAGTGTCCACTCAAATACAAATGCTCAGATGAAACAAGACTAAATAAAAGCAAACAATTTAGAGGATCTAAATTAAACATCTGGTTTAGTTAGGTAGTTTGATTTCATGAGAATGAAGACAGTTGGTCAGCGTCCAACTAGAGACATCACTTACAAGTTTACCACTAAAAGGAAAGTCAAAGTAGAGCCAGGAGCTGGCGGTGCACTGAGGTAACATTAAGTGATTGTGCAATATATAAAGCCACAGTGCAGTTTTGCTCTATCAGAGCCAAACAAACAAAATTTATGCAGGTTAACAATGACAAAGGCTTCCTGGAACGAAGCATGACTGGAAGCAATTTTTTAAAGCCCACCTGCAAAGATGTTAAAATGCTTTTGTAGGAGATTAAATTTCACATCATCCTGTAAAGACTGAGGTTAGGCCTTTTTAAGTGGAATAAACAAGAGGCGTATATTTTATTACACTTCTGACTGGAAACAACATGGGCATGTTTGACGAATTTACGTTGACAGAAAGCAGAACATCAATAAAAAAGACAGCAACATAACTGTCAAGTCATTCTGGTTTTATTCTCATGCGCTTATGATGTCTTAAGTGTTCTACTGGTAAGGACTAAACATCAAGCTAAATATTGTGGTTATTATTTTAGTTTTCTTAGTTTTAAACATTTGTATCATAAAAGACCTAAATATATTTGTAAATAAAACAGATATTCTTTAGAAAATGTGTCCAATTGTGGGCACACATTAAATGTATATACTTGTTTGTTTTTTTGCCATTTGTAGTTAAAAAGGTAAATTGAGCAGAATATAAATGATCTAAATAATAAGAAACAATAAATAATGACAAGTACTGTATTCTTGAATTATACTAGAAAATTGCATGTGTACATTTTCTGCTCAAGTACCATTAAAATATATATTTTTAAAGAGGTGAAATGAGTTGAATACATTTGTTTGAGATCAATTTAAAATTCATATGATGAGAATAAAAAAAGCACCTGCCAAAATAATATAAATCTACTCAGGGTAGAATTTCATTTAGATAATGTTTTGAAAACTATACAGCCTGTATCTGATCAAACTAAACTATCAAAATCCGTTCGTTAAGCAATTACTGTGCCAAACCTAGTACTACTTCTGAATTTGATGGAACTTGTGTACTACACTGAACTGAGTTTTACAAACTCAGAACTAATACAACACATTTATGAATGCACAGCCTCAGCTTATAAACACAGGAGGCTTACCTTGCTCGGGATCCTCAGGTTCTCCACGGGACTCAGGTCTGACATGCTCTCTTGAGGACTTTTCAGGCCCTGTTCAAAACCAGAATCCAAAATTAACCCAAAAACAAGCGTCAAATATTGATTATTCTGATGTAACCTGACCCGTTCAGTCTCACGCAGCTAGTTATTCATCAGCAGACTACTACATTCAGCAAAAAAGTGGAACTGACGGGCAGATTTATGCAAAGTTGTTGGGACCAGTAGTGAATCTAACATTAGAGCAGGACCAGTGCAAGCTGAGGACTTCCCTAAACCGCCCAGTTGTTGTGCTCCGAGCAGCTGATGGACTCAAACGAGAAGGGTGTCAGAGTTGCTCCAAGAGACAAATATTGCATTTATGCCAAACGAAAAGGTCGAATGTAGCTAATAAAAGCTGCAGTCTTCTCTTTTTAGCAGCGCTCTTTAAAGTCGGCGAGCTGTCAAATTAGCCAGTTAGCGTCGATAGCTAGCTAGCCGTCATGCTACCGGCTGCTGCCAGAGAAAAACGTCCAGAATGTCGTTGTTCTGAAGACCTTTTTGCTCACCTGACGGGCCATAAGAGACTTTATCTTCTGCATCGTAAATTCAGCTTGTGAGCAAAAGGACAACTAAACGGCTACAGCTTCAAGTTTGTCTTGTTGTCCACTATGAACCTCTATCTACGAGAAGGAAGCCATAGTTGACTGTCTGTCACGTGACTGAGGAAACCGAGAAAAAAGCTGAAGTATCATGGGAAATGTATTTTTTAAGCTTTTGTATCTGAAAGGTCACCTGATGGAGTTTCTCGCAGATAAAATTGAAAAGTTACAGCTATAAATAAAAATACGTGTTGTATATTAAAAAATGTGATAGTAAAATTTATAATTATTGCATCACCTTCATACTGTAAAACAGATTATTGTTACATGCCACTGGATGGCAGTAATTTTGCAAAACTCAGAAGAGATAATGATATTCTTTCTGTTTAGTTGCTGCTGTTGTTGTTTTTGCCTCTATGTATCACAGGAAGAAAAGCACATATACATTTAAAAGAATGATAAAATGTAATATTGATTTCCATTGTGCACATTAGCATTTACTTACTTGTACTTTACTTACGCATAGCAAAACTTGCCATTATCTCATCACCATGTGTATTATCTGCTATTACATTTACCATTATTTTAGAGCTTTATTACCGGTATATCCAATTATTTAATACTAAGTAAATTTGCTCAAGAATGAAGCATTAATGTATCAGCAATAGACAATAGCAAAATATTATAGTAACAGTTTGTGTGTAATTACAACCTCCATTGCAATGCTTGATCATCATACTTATACAAATACATTATAATACTTCTGTATTTCTATTTGCAGCAGCTTCAGCCTCAGACAAATTTGTTGATACAGCTTGTTGAAACAATGCTCGAAAAGTGTTCCGGTTTAAAGCAACAGCCTAACGTACATCTGCATGCCTTTAAAATGTGATAGAGTAAAAACAATGTGAAAATAAATTACTTGTTTATTTTACAAAGAAATGCGTAGTTTGGTTAGTGTTAATAAAAAAGCTTTTAATTGATGCTTTATGTGTGTTTGACAAGTGTTTAACCCTGGTATCATTCAAGGTGTTTATCAGCCATCCAGCCTATTTACAGGGAACAAAGCCATCGCCAACTGCCTTGGATTGTTGTGTGCATCGAATGAACATGGACCTTTTTTTGGATTTAAACCTGCTCTCCCCTGCTGCCTGCACCTTGAATCCATTGACCATTACATTAGGAGCTGACCAATCATGGACCCAGCAGGCCCCATGGCTATAATGTTACATCACCAGAGTTTCTCAGCCAGGAAGCTGCCAAGCCCACATCTGGCTATGTGGAAGAAATGTGGAGATCACCTTTGTGGGAAAATGCCTAGCCATCAAACTACTATCCCGCAGAATGTGTGACTCTGCTAGACCTGATACATCTGGTCTTGGTGCAAGCCTAAGCTGTAGCTTCCCCATTCCAAGAACTCCCCTGATTCAAAGCACCACCATGCTACAGCACCTTTTATGACTTTCTGCTCTGCAGGTCCAAGGTTTCAGCCGCCTCTGTTGCTGCAGCCTTAGAGCCTTCGATCTCTGCCTCAGCCACGTCACAAAGTTATGTTGTTTAGTTGTCAAATGCAGGTTAACACAGGTCAACAGTGCAATGAAATGTTCAGGATGAGAAGAACCGATTTTGACTCAATAAAAAAATACTAAATATTAAAGCAACGCCACTGGACTCCGGGCCAGAGACGAACGCCGAGGCCCTGAAAGCCGAAGTCTTGCTCTCACTTAAAGCGGACATAGCAGAGGTAATAAAGACAGAAATGAGAAGTATAATCGCTTCTGATTTTGCCTCCTTAAAGAATGAGCTAAGTTCGGCGGTGAAGCAGGAGCTGCACAACGTCATAGAGTCACTGCAAGCTGATACAGAACACGTGAAGTTGGGAGTCAAAGAACTGGAAACTGGCCTCTCTGTCTGGTCGAACGAGGTTACCGTTCTACAAACAACAATAAAAACGCTGACAAGCGAGATGACTGAACTAAAAAACAAATGTGAGGATATGGAAGGCAGAATGCGAATAAATAACATCAGAATTCTAGGGGTGGCAGAGGGAAACGGCTCTAGTTCTATAGCTGCGGTAGCAAAACTTCTTAGAGAGTCGCTACAACTGGACAAAGACGTGCTTGTGGACCGGTCACACAGAACTCCAGGGCCTGTGAGGAAAGATGACAAGCCACGGACCATCATCGCCAAGCTGCACTACTTCCAGGACTGCGCCGAGATCCTGAATCGAGCACGAGCCCGAGGTTCACTGCAGTACAACGGGATGAGAATTGCGGTGTTTCCTGACTACACTACGAGCATCGCCAAGGCCAGAGCTGCTTTCAATGAAGTGAGACAACTTCTTCGTGGCAAGGAAGATGTTCGATATGGCATTTCATTCCCAACACGACTTCGCATCACTTTCAAAGGAGACGAGAAGAGCTTTACGGATCCAGCGGCAGCGATGAAGTATGTTAAAAGAAACATAATCCCTGGGGAGAGAGATGGTAACTAATTACTGAATAAGCTTGAATTATGAATGGAACCGCAGCCAAATGTTTTTAAATAGGATGAGGGAGTGAACAAGTCCAGTTTAATTTTCAGGGTAAAGTTATGTTATTTAATAAAGTTTACATTTGCAAATATATGTGTTTAATAGAAGCTACATTTTTCAACTAGCAACCAATTATCATTATTTCTCAGGAAAAAATATGACATGGTTTAAAATGTACAGCTTAATAACCTTCATGTTTGATTTGAAATATATAAGGCTTTGGGTCGTTTGAAGAGATACCTGTGTTGATTAAAATAAAAAAAAAATGGTTGCTAGGATAACTTTTTATTTAATGGTTGTTACTATTATTTTTTCTATGACTCATTGTTAAAAAAATACCCTGTTGGTTGATAATTACAGTATTTAATAATTAAGCGTTAAAATGTTTGGCGGGGGCCTGAGTGGTGGCTCAGAGAAGTTCCCGGACAGTTATCACGAGGTGATAATGGGGAGGGTTTCCCAGGACTGGGAAGGGGAGGGAAGGGATAGGGAAAGATTGAGTTTATGTTTTAATTTTTGGTTGCATATTCTTACAACTTTTTTGTCAGTGCCCTTAAATGAGAAAATACAAATGGTATTGAGTAATCATCTCTTAAAATGGCTAAATGTCTCAAGTAAATAATTTCAAATTAGTCTCGTGGAATTGTAGAGGTCTTCAACGACTTCAAAAAATTAAGCAGGTTATGAATAAGTTAAAATATATGGATAGTAAAATAGTATTCCTGCAAGAAACCCATCTTCTTGATGAAAACAGCTTGTCAGTTAAGAGAAGATGGAGGGGCAACATATTTACGGCACCATATACATCTCAATCTAGAGGAGTCATGATGTTAATTCATGAGTCAGTCCCATTTCAGGTGCAGAATATTATTAAAGATAAAAAAGGAAGATTCTTGATTGTTCAGGGTACCCTTCTATCAGAAAACTTGATCTTAACAAATATTTATGGCCCTAACATTGATGACAGTAAATTCTATAACGATTTATTTTTAACATTATCGTCCTTAAAAGGACTACATTTAATAGGAGGCGACTTAAACTGTACACTCAATTCAAGTATAGACAGATCTACTGGTGTTGACAAAACACATAATAATTGTAGAACTACAATACACAGATTCATGAAAGAGTTAAAATTATTAGACATTTGGAGGGAAAGAAATCCAGCTTCTAGAACCTACTCCTGCTATTCGAGTGTATTTCAAACTTACTCCAGGATAGATTTATTTCTAATTTCTGCAGAACTACAAAGTAAAATATCTGACTGTTCTTATGATAATATAGTAATTTCAGATCATGCCCCGTGCTATTTAATTTATAGAGATAATAAACTGAGAAAGGATCCTCCAAGATGGCAATTCCAACACAAGTGGCTGCAAGATGAAGACCTGGTTAAGTACCTAGGAAAACAAATTGATCTCTATTTTCAAACTAATACAATACAGACAACAACAAGCATTAAATGGGAAGCATTCAAGGCATTTTTTAGGGGACATATAATAAGTTACACTGGATATAAATCGAAAAAGACTCAAGAAGCCAGAAAACAATTGGAAGATAAAATTAAGGAGTTACAAATTAAAGTCAACTATGTCAATAACCAACAATTAAATAAAGAATTATTATACTGGAGAGCGGAATATGATAAACTTGCCGCCTCCAGGGCCGCATCTAGTCTGCTCAGACTCAATCAGACATTTTATGAGCAAGGTGAAAAAGCAGGCAAAATATTAGCATGGCAAATTAAAAAAATGGAATGCAAATCACCAATTACAACAATAATAAAAGATGGACATACTCTTACAGATCCAGAGGATATCAATTTAGCATTTAGGGATTATTATAAAGAGTTATATAATGCACAATGTAATAACCAAGAAGAGCATATTTCTGATTTTTTAAGTAAATTAGATATACCCAAAATGTCTGATGAAAATAAAAATAATCTAGACTTGGATATTACAAAGGAAGAGATAGAACTTGCAATAGAAGAAATGAAATCTGGCAAAACAGCAGGGCCAGATGGGCTACCAATAGATTTATACAAGAAATACAAAAGCAAATTATCTGCTCCTCTATTAGACATGTTTAATGAAATTTTTAAATTTGACAATCTCCCTCCTGCATTAAATATGACCATGATTACTCTTTTACCAAAATCAGGTAAGCCAACTAATAAATGTGAAAATTTTAGGCCAATCAGCTTACTAAATTCTGATTTGAAAATTATTGCAAAACTATTAGCTAAACGTCTTCAAAAAATCCTACCAAGTATAATTAAAGATGATCAAAATGGTTTCATCAAAGGGAGACAGGGCTTTCACAACGTACGGAGAGTGTTAAATATAATACATAGTAGTAATGGAGCTGCAGATAGAGCCCTCCTCTCATTAGACGCTGAGAAGGCGTTCGAAAGAGTGGAATGGTTATATCTTTTCAAGGTGCTGGAGAGAGTTGGATGTGGGCAGAAATTTATTAAATGGATAAAAATTTTGTACAGTAATCCCACTGCAGAAATAAGAACTAATAGGATAATTTCTAAACCAATAGAAATAAAAAGAGGCTGCAGACAAGGCTGCCCCC